CAGCCTGCTACTACTTTCTTTATGATGCCTACTCTTGATAAATTGCACTAAATACCTTTTTAAACTGACACCGTAAAATTTCTATCACACTGACCGGCTTTTATGAATGATTGTATTTGAGATCATGGTGAAATATTAGGGTATTAAGTTTCACACTGTTTTAGTTTTAGTATAAAGCCTGATTCTCACTAGAGACAAGTCCAAGCGCAAGAGGATAAAAGATTCCGTTTTTCCTGCGTTAGCTTGCGCTTGTGCTTATGCTTACTTCAGCTTGCATCGCTAGTGATAACAAGGCTTAATCAACACCGTAATGACAGTGACAACGCTCATAGCACTAAAAACAGCGGTAACAACGGCAGCAACTACAACAACGAAAGTAACAACAACATCAGCAACATCGACTGCAACAACTTACGACTTCAGAATGTTGTTGGGATAAGTTACCCTAATAAAACAAACAAAATTAAAACACATTGCTTACTTGATTGATTTGTTCTCTGTTTCTTGGTGGTTTGGGTAGGTTCTGCAGGAGTGGACTCCAGAATTGTTTCGTTACATCGAGGTGGATAATAACCGTCCTTGCATCTTGGATTCCCTTGGAGGTGAACAGTAGTAATGACATAGATTAACTGGCTGCTCGAGGATGTAGCATAAACTACATGATAACGGAACATACTCAAGTCCGTATAATTTATCAGTAAGCTGAAAGTGATCAACATAATGACAAGACTAATTGGTATAGCTATCGTCTCTTGTTGTGACAACAAAACCTGGAAGTTTGAATTTAGAGTTCACCCAAAAAACGAGTCAAAGATGCTTTTTTTCACATTTAAGAAATCCTGTGTATTAGTCTGGATTCATGAACCTGGGCCCAATAAAATCTCCCCCTTCCGCTTGAGCATTAAAAAAAATTAGTAAAATATCAATATTGTGGGAAACTTATGAGGGGGTTGAAACGTGTAACACTATAACTATGCACCGGAATATCCAGATAAGCAAATTGCTAATTTTGATATTTAAAATAAATTTTGATACAGCATTTGGAATTAATTTTTGGTTTCGAGATGGCGTCTACTCTCATACTTTTGTACTCCCATATGAGTTTCTGCTACTCAAGCTCGAAACATTAGATTAAGACAATACTTTCTTGATGTGGTGACCTCTAAACGTTTAGTGATTATAATAATAATAATATTCCACTATGATTTGAGGTTTGCTTGTTTCACTAGAAACCTGCACAAAAAAGCTTTCAAAGTTCGAATATATATTGCTTATCAGATTATCTTTATTGACAAGTGCATGTTACTGGATACGTACCTTTCCTGTACTCACACACATACGTAAATGGTTGTGAACAAACGATGTCTTTAAATAGTCCTTGTGTTCCGGGTGGATAGTTCTTAGTCATAGCCACACATTTCTCTTTACCATCGCGACCATTTGGTTCATATATATTTCTCTTTTCATCTCTTTGCCACTTGTTTATTGAAAGTATTTGGTCGTTCACCCATTTCCATTCTCCTCCTTCCTTTATCAGGCCAATGCACCATTCATTAARATACTTATCGATCCCTTGAATCTTTGAATTAACGAATTTCCATTTCTCTTCTGTTTCCATGGTTACCAAGTCACCTCCATCTTTTCTGCACTCACCTCGACTATCTCTGCAACCTAATATACGTGTATTAAGTGTGTAGCAGAAGCAATCACAGGTAGCCCAAGCTTGGTTTCTGTGGTGTCCTGTTATAAGGAAATGTATGGGGAATCATCAAAAATTTCAATAAAATCATCAAAACGTGAAATAAAGCCTCGAAATTTTAC